CCCCTCCCTTCCCCCCATTTCTCCCCTGGGACCCCTCTCCCCAAACCCAGTCCTTCCCTTGACACCTTCTTCCCCCAGTTCCTTCCCTGGGTCTCCTGCCTGCACACCTCAGCCCTTTCCTGGACCCGTCAGTGCCCCAGTGCTCTCCACTGGTCCTCCACCAAGAGGGCTCTCTTCCCCCACAGGCACTATTCCTCTCATTGCCCACCTAGGACCCTGTTCCTCCCCCTCCTGCCCTTGCCCATGTCCCTGGTGACTGCCCAGCCCCGGCCCAGTCTCACCTTCCTCCACTCTGCCAGGTCCACTACATCTCAGACTTCTTCAAAGCCCGACCCCCACATCACTGCCCGAAGGAGGAGGAGCTGGAACGGAAGCCCAGCCTGTCACTGACAGTGATCCTGGGCGAGGCTGACCACAACCACTATGGGTACCCGCATTCCTCCTCCTGAGGCTGGATGCCGCCCAGACAGGGAGTGGCTGTGAGTCCAGCTGAGGCCAGCCCCCCAGGTGGTCTGTCTAGCCCTAGGTAGGCACTGAGGGCTCCGGATGGGCTCCAGGAACCCTGAGCAGGCTCTGCCGCCCCCTGCCCTGCACTGGACCAGGAGTCTGGGGAGGCCTAGGTAGCCCTGAGCATTTGGAGGGGGACCTGTTCCCGTAGCTCCCCAATATCCCCATTCTTTTATGGGGTTAAGGAAGGGACTGTTTTGTAAAATGTAATGCACATGTGGTTTTTAGTAAAATGGGGCATTGGTTTGACGAGTGGTCTCAGTGCCTCTGTTCCTTACGGCCTTTCTGGGACAGTGTTCCTCCCATCAGAGGGCTCCACGGAGCTCAGGCGTCAGGCCTACTCACCTGCTGTGATGGTGGAGGGCAGCAGCCAAGCCCGCCCCTTGCGTTTCTCCCTGCATGGCGCTGGGGTCAAGGGTCAGATGGGTCAGCACACCCCTCCCCTCTGCTCATGTCCACCCCGTGCACCTGGGGGCCACGCTTCTGAAATGGGTAATTCAGGGGTTGGTTTCTCTGAAGTGATGGCAGAACACACAGAGCTTACTTTTTCAACAGGAGTGTAAAGGGTACATTTGTTTTTTTGTACAGGGGGTAACTTAGGTGTCTGCTGATGTTTTCTTTGCACCTGGAACCTCTCTTATTCCCTCACCCTGCAGGGTGTTCCTATCAGGCCTTAGCCTACAGGAAGGGTGGTGTAGCCCTGGGGGCAAAAGTGCAGACTGGGAGCCCCACCCAAGAGGCTGCGATGGAGACCTGCTCTTGGTGGACAGAAAGGAAGGTGATCCAGACCCTGCCGAACTCCAGCTGAATGTCAGGGACTTGCCTCCATGCAGGTGTCAGACGGGATCCTGACTGGGAAAGTCACACTGAAGCCTCCCAGGTATCCTAGGGTGTCCCAGCAGGCAGTGATGCCCGAGGACTAAGGAGGCTGTGTCTGGGCTCAGAATGTGTCTCTGGCAGTGGGTAGGAGAGAGGCTTCCATCCAGATCCCACGGGCAGAGTCACCTGCATCAGGAGCAAATGGGAACGACCCAGGTGCCCTGACAGCAGCTGACACCTCCGTCTCTTCCCAGGCACAATGGCCTTGAAAGCCAGGACCACAGTGAGGGTTGAGCTCTAGTCTGCGGGAGCAGCTGCAGCGCACAGGACTCTGGTGTGGTCTGCTGGGGGCAGGTGGTCGTGTTGGGACGAGCAGTGAAGACTGAGGAGAGGAGGAAGTTTGGAGTGAGGGAGAGGACGTGGCTCAGTCCGGCTGCTGGCCTCAGCTGGGGGAGTCTCAGTGCTTCAGAAAGAGCATGTCACCCCACGGCTGTGAGAGCAGAGAAAGAAAGGGCTGTACTGACCAGAGCCATCCCCAAAGGGTCCTCAGGAGCCAGGAGGGCCCAGCTCTGGGAGCTGGTGGCCTGTCTCACTGTTTGGGTGCTGCCCAGCTGGACTACACATGCATTGCTCTGCATCTGTTGAGAAAAGCCAGGACGCAGGGTGTCGGGTTCGGAAATTCTCACAGGTTCCCAGTACCAAGATGGCAGGCAAGGCAGCAGTTAGGACACATTTCTCCACACACACACAGCTCTGGGGAAGCTCTCATGCGTAATTTTGGGTTTACACTGCCCACACCCTTATGGTTTCATGGAAAAAAATAGTATTTTCTCTCGTTGTACAAGGAGGATATTTTTTTTCTGTTGTTTCTCACAGGAAACTCAGATTCTTAGCCATGTAAATATCATTTCCCATGGCTGTGTCCTCGTGGCCCGGCATTTCTCCCACCTTCTGAGATTGACTATTTTTTGAAGACCTCCTCCTGGCCGGGCGCGGTGGCTCATGCCTGTAATCCCAGCACATTGGGAGGCCGAGGCGGGCAGATCACAGGGTCAGGAGATCGAGACCATCCTGGCCAACATGATGAAACCCCGTCTCTACTAAAAATGCAAAACTTATCTGGGCGTGGTGGCAAACTCCTGTAATCCCAGCTATTCGGGAGGCTGAGGCAGGAGAATCTCTCAAACCCAGGAGGCGGAGGTTGCACTGAGCTGAGATTCTGTCACTGCTCTTCCAGCGAGACTATGTCTCAAAAATAAAAAAAAAAAAAAAAAAGAAAAAGAAAACTCCTGAGTATTTGATGATATGCAGGATTTTTTTGAATGTGTCAGCTACCATGTGTTATTCTGGTTTTGTAGGAAACTATACCTACTTTGTTTTTTAGACACAGGGTCTCATTCTGTCACCTAGGCTGGAGTGCAGTGGTGCAATTACTGCTCACTGCAGCCTTGACTTCCCAGGCTTAAGTGATGCTCCTGCCTCAGCCTCCCAAGTAGCTAGGATTACAGGCACCCTCCACCATGCCCAGCTAATTTTTGTATTTTCGCCATGTTGGCCAGGCTGGTCTCGAACTCCTGACCTCAGGTGATCCACCTGCCTCAGCCTCCCAAAGTGCTGGGATTACAGGTGTGAGCCACCACACCTGGATATTTATTCCTCAACTGAATTTCTGTTTGAATTGAAACAACATAAAATCCTAATTTTGATAACATTATTTACATTTTTTACGTTAGTTGCTAGAACGCGATGCGAGAAGGCAGCGTTTCCTCAACCTCACCCGGCAGTGATGTGGCCTGCGGCCTTCTGGACAGCATTGGGGGTGGGGATTTGGGGGCATCTGAGCCCCTGGGCTGGCTCAACAGTGCAGTCTGGGCCTTTTCCCAGAGGCTTCTTAGCCCTAAGCCTGATTGTCCACCCCAAGTCTCCTCAACAGCGAGAGGCACATTGTCCTGCTGTGTAGAGAATCTTAGTTCTTCTGTCTCCTGCCACATATTTTCAGGAGCTGGACAGCTCTCAGGTCCCATCCCCTGTCTCAGAAATGACTTCTCAAATCATACCCTGCTGCAGCATTTTGTTAGCATGTTTTGTTGTTGTTCTTTGAGATAGGGTTCCGCTCTTCTTGCCCAGGCTGGAGTGCAGTGGCACAACCTCGGCTCACTGCAACCTCTGCCCGCTGGGTTCAAGCAATTGTCCTGCCTCAGCCTCCTGAATAGCTGAGATTACAGACACCTGCCACCATGCCCAGCTAAGTTTTTTGTATTTTTATAGAGAGGGGGTTTCACCATGTTGGCCAGACTGGTTTCAAACTCCTGACCTCAAGTGATCCACCCACCTCAGCCTCCCAAAATGCTAGGATTACAGGCGTGAGCCACTGCACCCAGCCGAGCCTCTTGTGTGACAGTTGTGATTTGTGGGATCTAAGCCCAGTTTTGTTTTTACTCTGACTTGCTGTTTTGTAAGCAGGCGGCCTAGTTTAGACATTTTAACGGCATTACAGGGATGGGAAATCACTGGGAAGAATTAGCCGGCCAGGCAAGATGTGTGGTAAGGGCATTGCATGGCAGGTGGAGGTTTAGGTTATTTGGGATTACTAAGTTACAGCAATGGAATTTATGAATGAATTGGCCAAGTGAGTGAATAAATGACTGAGTAAAGAAGACTTACCTGAGGCCTGGTGCTGTGGCTCACACCTGTAATCCCAGCACTTTGGGAGGCTGAGGTGGGAGGAGCACCTGAGGTCAGGAGTTTGAGACCAGCCTGGCCAACGTGGAGAAACCCCGTCTCTACTGAAAAAAAAAATACAAAATTAGCTGGGCATGGTGGTACATTCCCATGATCCCAGCTCCTGGGGAGGCTGAGGCAGGAGAACCACTTGAACCTGAGAGGCGGAGATTGCGGTGAGCTGAGGTCACACCATTGTACTCCCGCCTGGGTGACAGGAGCGAAACTCCGTCTCAAAAAAAAAAGACGACTTACCTGTAATTACACGGCCCTCTGCCCTCACCTAGAGTCAGGGCAGGAAGGATGATGGGTGTGGATGGGAGGGCATCGCTGCAGGTGCTCACCTGTCTGGCTGGAAACCCCCTGTGTGGACAGGCAATGCAGCCACAGCAGCAGGTGCACTTCCCTCCTTCAGGGGCTCCAAGGCCACACCATAGGCCACACTTCAGGGAATCCAAAATGGAACATGAGGATGTTTCATCACAACTGAGCAATATGTACAGCAGTGGAGGTATCTAACAGGAAAGGCAGTTCTATGCTTTTGGAGGGGTTTGGGTGTTTTCCTTTTTTGAGAGAGGGTCTCACTCTGCTGCCCAGGCTGGAGTGTGGTGGTGCAATCACTGCTCACTGCAGCCTCGACCTCCCAGGCTCAAGCAATCCTCCTGCCTCAAGCTCCTGATTAGCTGGAAGTATAGATGTGTGTCACCACAACCGGCTCATTTTTGTTTTTTTTATAGAGACAGGGGTTCTGTCATGTTGCCCAGGCTGGTCTCAAATTCCCAGTCTCAAGCAGTCCTCCTGCCAGCCTCCCAGAGTGCTGGAATTACAAGCGTGAGCCCCTGCACCTGGCCAATAGTA